CCTGTTACATTCTCGATTCAAAATTTCGCGCAGGTCCCGATCTCGCTTCTTCAATGGCGACCGATTTGACAGCAGAACTCAGCGAAAATGCTCATCTACGACCAAAACCGATCCTACCACTTGATTCAGGATTCGCAATCGCCGGTAATGTCGGAGTAGATCGGCACCAAGATCGCCGTTCCTCCGATACCGGACCTCCCTCGTCCGCAACTCTTAGCGCTGCGAAGGAAGGCATGGATTCCCAACGTGCCGCCGTGGGGAGAATTCCGGAGTATCATGCTTCTGTTTTTGATATCTTTAAGAAGATCCGTCGTGCAGAGCGGTTCGGGATTCCCGTACGTTTGTCGGAGGCAGAAAAGCGATACTCTCGAGCCGAGAGGTGATTTTGCGGTTTCGTGGCATTGTTTCTTTTTCGTACGGTTTAGTGCCTATTCGAATGTCTAGGGTCTGAGGAATGGAGGAGTGTAGTATTATATATTTTGTTTCCTTGCTTGAATTTGATGCCGTATTATGGATCGATAGTAAATTCATCAACTGATAAATGCAGTTATTCAGGAACGAAAGATTTTGTATTCTCATTTCTCCGAAGTGAAATGCAGAAGGTTGCTCTGAGTTTCTTCGCATTGCATCTTATGTTCTTTCATTTTGGGGAACAACTTTTCATTATTTTCATTTCTAGTGTCGTTCGACAATTTAAAGTTGGTCGTTTCTGAAACGAAATTTTGGTAGGTTCGGAATTGGCTCAGCATGTGGATCAGATGAAGTGGCCAAATCAGAGGAGCTGAAGAGAAAGGCAAGAGCAGAGAGGTTTTTCTGCTTCACTAGTATTGCGTTCGAGAAATTTGTACTACTTATTTCCTCAGTTTGACTATCTTATCTGCTTTTTCAGGTTTGAGCTCTTAACTTTGTCCATGGCTACTGACGAGGAGGCAAAGAAAAAAGCTCGGCTTGCCAGATTTGCCCCATTTCCGTAGAGTTCCCTTCATAGAATGCAATTAGGACGCTACACCATAAAATCTTATGATCAGCCAAGCTGTTATACATTTAATCAATTGGACAAGCCGAGCTATTATAATTCTTCGTATCCATAGCCTTTTCAATTTAAGGATGCGGCCATTATTTTGTATGAGAAGTATAATATTGGACTCCATTAGACGGAGGTGAAGTTTCAAATTTCCAGAACTGCACCCTCTTCATCAAATTAGAGGGTTTACCTTCCATTTAGTTTTAAATTATCTATACTATCACCATCATCGATATTTTCAGTTGTTCCCAATGCTCAAGCAAGCCCTTTGAGTTCGACTCAAATAAATGGCAAGGGAGATGTACCTGTGGGTTCTTAGTAGGTTAGGCAACTTGTTTGGTACGGCTTTCAATGGTCAATAGGTGTACAGTCTGTAGTTCATAATTTTCTGTAAGAATCCCTGTTATATGGAGGGCAGAGCAGTGGCCTAAAAGAAGTATTTTTTTTACTGTTTTTGATGATCTAATTGACCCTGCTCAACTGAAAAAAAAAAAAAAAAAATTGACCCTGCTCAACTTTATTTGCATGGTAGAAATTATCTAATCGATTTTTTTATCCTTTGCAGGTTCTTAGTTTAGTTGCTGCTCCTGATTTGCTTCTTTCTCAACACTTGCACACTGAAATCCTAGTTGCCTTTCCTTTAGTTTTAATCATTTTCGAGCCTGGTTGATGGAACTCAGAAGAGTTCAGGATTTGCTTCAAAAACCTTGTGACTGTTTTCACTTCGTTTTATTTAGTCATATTTTTCTCAGTTATCACTTCTAAGTTCTAAGGGGTTTAGGAAAACGTTTAACAGCCTGTCAGATGGAGTAACGAATGACTTGTTCACTTTTCATGTAAAGATTTGGCTTTCATTGTGTTTCAGGCTTGCTTTTCTCGGGGAACAGGACAAGGTTCAGCTTTCATGGAAATCATTTGCTTATTGTACAGTGGTATCAGACATTTTTTATGGCTGCTAATCTGCAACTCTCCAAACGAGAGACTATCATATATTGATGGTAGAACTGGACAAGATTGATATTTCCAATGGAAAAACAAGATTTACAAAGATGAAGGATGTCGTTTCATTTTGTTACATCAAGAAACAATTTACGAACTTTGTACATTTACATCCGTCATCTTCTATTTTACTCGCTAATAGAAGATCTTACAAATTGATAGATCTTTCTAAGAAGCCTGAAATTTCTAGTTTTGTTTGTCAAGAAATTGAAAAGGGTATAAAGACATTAACGAAGTTTACCAGCTAGGAGTTTGCCGATGAAGGGAGACCTTCTCCTCCTCTGATTGACAAGGAACAGGGGGCCGGCCTACCATTGATCAAATGAGGATCTAAGAACACAACTACCACAGAGATGTCGTCGTGGAAATGCCTTCTCACCCCTCTATCTATCTTTTTCAGGTCTGAATATCTCATCTCTCTTTTTTTAGCTGCTTCTCGAAGTGCAGCCTTGACAAGTCTCCTTGCTATTCCCTGCAGTTTTCATCAAGTTGAACCATAAATTCAAGTGAATTTTGGTAAGGAAGAATACGACAGTAGGTTGTCAAGTCATCAATGTTGTCGATCAACAAGATGGTGGTTTATGAGGAGATCGATTCTTACATTTCGAGGATAGCTGTTGACGATGTCAACAGTCTTCTGGTTGCTAAGGTGCTCCCAAAGGCCATCAGAAGCAAATATGAGATATTGATCTTCTGGACGGAGTTTGTGTACCAGCGTTGATGGTTCTGCACTGAGGATCGGTTTGTAAAATGGCTCAGGCAGTTGAAATTTAGGTGGCAGAGGAGGTCTATTGAATTGTGCCTTCTTCAAATATGCATCACCAATGGATCTTGAAATCTGCAGGGGGTAAGGTTTTGAAGAATCAGAACTCTGGGGGCTTTCTAGATTGCGTCACTTAACAATTAGCAACTACTCTCAGCAGATTTCGAGAAGTTTTTCAGGAAAATTACCTGTATGAGACCTTTAACTCGCCAAACATTGTGTTTTAGAATCACAATCTGAGGATCTTCTGGATGAACCATCCGAAGTTCATCTCTCACTGAGTCTATGCTTGCATTGTGCTCTGCGGAGAGTTGAATGGCAATGACTTCTTTAGTGGCTCTCTCAGTTCTCCCAAGCACTACTCTCGAATCACCTGCATTTGCAATATATAGTTGTCCATTGCATATGATCCCCACCAAACAACATGATCCAGCAGATGCAATCTTTGGTTCATTAAGCCACTGCTTCTGGACAAGAGAGAGAAATCCCTCTTCTGTTGCTGCAAAAGCCTTCCTGATAACGTTTTCTGATATGCTTTGATGCAAAGATGCATATCCTGCACTTTGGAAAAACCACAAAGACACATCAAAAAAGGCTCGAGGGGACTTAAAATTCAAGACCCAGAAAACCAAAATTCAGATTATAGAAGAGTGTTTGCAATGAAGATGAAAACCAACTTTTGAGATTGCTGAAGAGATTGTCGTTGACAAACCGTGAAGCCTCGGTTCCACCATGGCCGTCGTAGACTCCGACGAAAGTCCCCTGCGGACCCGGGTTGGTCATACTCAATGCCCCAGATTCAAGCTGGCTTTGATCTTCCACCACATTATTAGCTTGGATTACTGCCATGGAGAATTGTCCATAAACATGATGCCCCAGATCCTTAGACCACAACAACCCATCAACTCGTCCGTTTGAATCGCCATCATCATGGGGTTTCCAGCAGGGTTTAACCATTTTTTCTAAAAGGCCAGTCAATGGACACAAAATTTCAGGAGTTTGTGTTTCATATGTATCATCCAAATGAGCCAGCAATCAAAAAATTCATCATCCCAGATCAAGAACACGACCCAGACCCACTCTCAGCTCCAGGTTTTGTTCATACTCAAAACCCACAACCGTTATTCCTGAAACTACATCCCCCCCAATATATCCAGACACCATTAATATGAAACAAAAACTCTTATTTTTTCCTTTTTTTTTTCAGATAAAGACCGGACAGGTATGGGCTAAAATAACTGCAAAATGTCCCTTGAGACAAGAAAGCAACAGTCTTAATACAAGTTCAGAGAATATGGAGGTGGTGCTGGTCCTGTGTACCTTGAATCTGGGATTTATGGGTTGTTTGGCCCTTGCTTCTGTGCCATCTTCCCGGAACACACTGAGCTGTAAAAGCACATAACGGTTAAGAAAGTGGCAGCGTTTGGTCTGAGATGAGAGTGATCAAAAGGGAGAGCCAGCCGATTGAATCAGTGAGGGTTTTTTGGAAGCTTTTTCCACAGAGGATCCACCCGGTTAGTTTCTCTTTCTCTTTCTCTGTTTTTTCTTTTCTTTTTTCTTATGCGATCTAGCATGGGGATAATAAAAACACACTAAACAAACTACAAATCTGACATTGTTGTCCCTCCCCTCCTCCAGTCCCCCTCCTCTCCTTTGTTCTCTTCTCTCTTCTGTATTTTCTCTTTGCTGTATTTTTATAGACAAGTGGTGGGCTTTTTATGGGTTTGGGGCCTTCGGCCACTTCATGTCCGCACTGCAATTATAAACTGAGCAAAACCCACCATTTCTAATCACCTTATAATCACCCATAGCCCACCATTTCAGGCAAAATTTTCCCTCATCTAAATCAAAATTCAAAAGTCCCTCTCCTTTTTACTACAGAAAGGAAATCTGAAAACCACCCCCTTTTCTGATCTGCAATTGGGAATTCATTCCTTTGGCTTGGCAGAGAGATGAGAGATATTAATGGGCTAAACTAAGCTTCTTAATTAGCAAGATAACGGAATTGATTGAGTGAGGTTTTTTTTTTTTTTGGGTCAATAAATAAAGATGAATAAAACTACAAAAATTTTCCAAAAACTGTATCTCCATTACAAAGCAACAATAAAGTGGTTGTGAAATTAAGTCTGAAATGGAATTGCATAGCTGTCAGCATGGCCAAGCAATTATGAAAGAGAGAGAGAGAAAAGAGAAATAGGTTAAAAGGGAAAAGGATAAGAGTGGGGAATTATATTCTGTCAAATACAAAGCTCATAATTTGTCAATCAAAAGTCACTCTACAGATTCGAGTGTCGTTATCATACTACTTATATAAGATTAGTTATTATTGATAATAAATCTATATAATTTTCAACTTTAGTAATTAATTATTGCCTAAATATATGTATATCTTACTCTAGAATGTTTTTCAGTTTAGTTCCTATGGTTTAAAAAGATTAATCCCTATTCTAAGAATGGAATAAATGTTAAACTTGATTTATGATAAGCTTATCTTTGGCAGAAATTTAAATAATGAATTTGTTGCCCGATGAAACTTTTAATTCCTCTACGAAAATTCTTAGAACTGGGAAAAAGTTTTATTATTATTATTATTTTCTCCTCGGAAGGAAACAAATTCTCTTTTGGGTGGCCTAATTTTTCTTCTTAATTTTTGTCAATTTACCAAGTATCTTATCTTACTAATTACTACGAAGGTTTATTATCAACCTATTTTAATATTTTTTGATAGAAAAAAATTTATTGAAAATGTTAAAAAATTAAATATTAAATTAAAATTTTAAATAACGGAAATCAAAGAAAAAGAAAATTTAAAAATATTAGAGATTAAAACATATATTTATCCTTAATTGTTTAATTTTTGTTCTTATTTGTGTATCAATGGACAGTAAAAAGAACCAGCAATTAGTTGCACTTTTTTGGAAGAAAGCATCTGTGCAACTATTTAATTTTCATGTAAAATTTGAAATTTGGTGACTTGATTTCACTTGGATCCAATTCGAAAAGTCTTCTTCTCGACCAATGAGAAGAATTTTTTGGTGGAAGCATAGATGGTATGGTAAGAGTTCACTGTCACTAATTTCAGTTTTTTTTTTTTCTTCTCTCTTTCTAGTCCTTCTTGTAACCGACATAAATAACTCTCTCACATTAATTTTCCGATTTATTCTCTAATTTTAAGGTTTAAATACTATTTTTCAAATCCTCTATTTTGGTTTTTATATTTTAAATTTGTTCAGTGTACTCTTTATACTTTCGAAATGTTAATTTTAGTTATTGTATTTTTATAAAGTGACTATTTTAGTTCTTTTATTTTTATTTTTATTTAATTTTCTTCTTGATTTTAGCATTATACTTCACGCCAAAATTTATTAAAATGTAGCAACAAATTGGTGTTTAAACCTAATTTTATATAAAATTTAGTATAACGCTAAAGACAAAACCCATAATATAGAATTTTCTGATCAATTCATTAACAAATTCACACCAAACCCATAAAAAAACACTATTTTCTTTTGATACTTTGTTAAGCGGAATTTTTTACTATTATCTGTCTGAAATTTGCAAAAGTAGAGCCACATCTGTTTCAACCAAAAGGATGGGAAATTATTGGCTCTAATCACAATCTCTTCCTTTTTTACCCTCGTTTAAAGGATAATAGAAATTAAAGAATACATTCGAATGCTTTATTATTTATTTGGAAAGTATCTGAAAAATCTTTTTCTTTGAATATTTTATCCAGAAATTTTATTTATTTCTTTTTTTTGAAGTGATGTGAACACTACACCAACCAAAATGAGTGGTACATGCATAAGACCCTGTTTCTGAGATCAATTGATAGATGTTCCCTAGCAATGTTTGGATCTGATTGATCATATTGTCCTGTTAGACCTCCTCCCCTCCCATCTTTTTTCCATATATGTAAATGTTTAGCTTTTTGTCCACGTGTTCACTTTTGATAGATTAAATGAGACTCGTCCTTCGGGATCGGAGAGATTCATCTTTTGTGCAAATTATTCAAATGGCCTTAATTATCCTTGTTGAGTTCGAGTTTCTATAGTTTAAAGGTACTACGAAACAATTAGATCGAGTAATTTATTATTTTGATCATGGAGAGAATTAAACTCCTTAACAAGAACTCTAATGGGGAAGAAGGCAATAGAAGAAGATCGAGTAGATAGATATGAAGAGAATTGAACTCAACCATTATATATGTACTTTTTGTATAGCCATAAATTCACATCTTGAAGAAACTAGAATGGATTTATATTAACCTTGGTTTGATTATGAAGAGAACCAATTTACCAAACTAGTCGTGGTCACGAATTGATCATCGCAAGATGTGCTTTCATTGCTTTACTTATTTTTGTGCCTTTAGTTGCTTCAGGGTGGGGTTGGAGTATCATAGGAGGTACCATAACAAATTTGGGTACTCGGAGTTAGGAAGGTGTGGTCATGAGAATCAAATGAATTGAAGGATTCGTGTTTGGTTCCATAAAGGATCGTCAAAGTTTTGAAATGAATGTAAAGACAAACTACTTTCATTAAGTATTAGATAAGATTTAGCAACTACACTTGTAAATAATAGGACTGTGCACAAAGTAACAAATAATAAATTAACCTCATTATTATAAATCAAGTTATTGAATATTTTAAACAAATCACGAAATTCAAAACTCCCTATTGTCTAGGAAGCTAAAAAGAATTGTTTAACGAGTTTATGTAGAATTAGATAGTTGGTCAGACGGAAAAGGCTTCCTAAATGGAGTAAAAGAACTTGGGATAGTCGATATATGAAAATCTAAAATAGAGATCGAGGTAATTTAGAGAAGTCATATCGATGAATTTATATAACAATCATGATTTAAATTCTACATTGAAATTAATATAAAGTTGATCAAAATAGGGTGATGTTTCAATCATAATAAGCATGATTTTCTTGCTTTTCATGTCCCAAAGGAAGCTTGGATTTGCATGACAATATGAGATGTTTCACCCTCTCCTTTAAATTAAAGCCTCAAAAGGCACCCACAAAAAAAAAAAAAAAAAAAAAATTAGTGTTTGAATTGACTTCAAGGCTCTCTTCTTCTTCAGTTGTTTGGTGGATGTCTTGCTTTGAGCTCACAAGCAATCATGTTGGTGCCCTCTCCTCTTGCAACGCCTTTCACATCCCACCTTCAACCTTCCATATAAAAGCAATACTCCAAAAATCAAACTTAGACTTAAAAGAGAAGTTGATTAGAGTCGTTTTGGTTTAGATTTGTTTGGAAACGAGATGTTTGAACATGATAAGTTTGAGTTTTAGATGCTCGAGAATGGAGGATGTCTTTATTTGAAACTATTCATGAATTGAATTTTGTATTTGTGTGAGAATGATCAGAGTCAGAACTTATTAACCAAATTTTAGAAAAAAATATATAGGTTACGGTAAGAAAGGTTTCTAAGACGTAGATTGCAAAAGATGATGAGTCAAGAAGTTTATCCTCTAATAAAAACATAAAACTAAAAATAGAGTGGTTAGGCTTTTTTTTTTTTAATAATAAAAATAAGATATATGAAATTATATATACTAAAATACAATAAACACAAGTTGAAGAACTATAATATGATTTCAACCTTTATTTTGTTATTAGTTTTATTTCTTATCTTAAATCACACATCTATTGTTTTAATTTGGTTCTATTTAGCCCAACTTCACAAATAGTCCATGTTGTTACTATATTAACATTTTTTTCTTTTTACAAGCTAAACTTAACCGCGTTAGTTAACTATAATAAAATTTATGGTTGGATAAAGTAGTTAACTATAATAAAATTTATGGTTGGATAAAGAAACCAAAAGAAACAAGTTCATTTTTTGGTAAGTTAACCAAAGTAAGATTAAATTAAAACTTTTAAAATCACAGGAATCAAATTAAAACTAAGTCTAAATCATATTAATTAAATTAAAACTTTTAAAATTACATAGACCAAATTGAAACTAAGCCTAAATCATATAAAATAAGTTGAAACTTTTAAAACTATAAGGCTCAAATTAGCGAAATTTCTAATTTAACCCCTTTTTTAATATTAGTAGCGGATGGAACAAGTCTAGTGTATATATAAAAGTTAAAATAATAACCAAATTCATTTTCGGCCTGTATTGGGTTATCAATTTTGTCGTTATGTGAGTGGGATCTAATGGGCTTCTATCAGGCCCAGCTACATAACCAAAAATCTATTCGGTCTAATGGGCTTATATCAGGCCCAGTTCAACTTCAAACTGGGCTAACTTTAATCATGTTGAGTTCACTAATCTCCATCGAGCTCTGAATTCTCTCTCTGGCGTGCTTTAGATCATTCAGAACTTCGATAATCCCTTCAGTGATCGCCGGCTTCCACTCGCCGGTTTTCGAATTTTCCGGCGAGTTTACGGCAACAACTGCCGGTGAATCGCCCGTTGAAACGAACTCATCTCCACCATTTTCGATCTTCGCTTTCGAAACTTTGTCGCAGCAAATTTCAGAAGCAGATGAGCTCGGGGCGGCACAACCTCGAGCATTTGGATTAGCTTCTTCCGAATGAGAAATTTCACCGGTGGCCTGGGCGTTGCTCGGGAGAGACGAAGCTGTGATTAGGGTTTTCGGCTGTTCTCCATCGCAGATTTCCGACGAAACTGAAGGCTCTGATTTCACCGTCGTGGAAGGAAGGTTAAGTGATTCGAGCTTTTTCCTCAGTAATTTAAGCTTCTTTTCTGCTTTTGTTCTCATATGAATCTGTTCTGTGATCTGCTTCTCTAATTCTTTTGACTGCAACATGTTTGATAAAATGCATGAAAGAAACACAGTACAGAAAATGCACCAAATTATTAACCAAAGCCAATCAAGGTAAAATGAAGAGAGTTTTGGCATTGGTCATACCCTTTTTTCCATCAGCTCTGCCTTCTCTTTAGCAAGAAATGATGCTTGCCTCTCTGCTAGTAATCTTCTTCTTAGGCACTCCATTGTTTTCAAAACTTCACAACCTTCCATTTTGTTGCCACTGCCACAAAAACCAAATCACAATTTAGAAGACAGTGATAGATAGATAGCAGAAACCAACATCACACTCACAGTTTAGAGAGAGAGAGAGAGAGAGAGAGAGAGACCTCCATTTGATGTCCTCCTTGGCATTTGGTGCCATTTTCTTGGCCTTGACGCAACTGCTTGGATTAGAACTCAAATAGTAAAAAAAAAAAAAAAAGTGGAAAGATGATGAACTCTTTAACAATTTTTTGGAAGGAACTTTTTTGAAAATCTGTCTGCTCCAGCTGCTGAGATACTGTGCAAAAGTGGCAGAGCTGTTTAGTAACTGTGACTTGATTCAGCTACCTCCATGTTTGAACCTTTTTCATTTATTACACCTATTTATTGCTCTTTAAATACCAAGCCCAACTCAACCCACAACTCCAATCATAGAGCCATAGACATTCTGTTCTTTCAATAATAACAGCAAAAGGGCAGGCACTGGTGCATTAAAGATCCTCTCTTTGAAACTGGTTCCTGTTTTCTTCCACAGCTTGGATTGAAAGGGAATTCAACCTCGAATTGGACCAGAAAAATATCTAAAATCCATTTATTTGGCCTTAGTTATGGAAATATTGAAGAAAAATGATTTAATTTAGGTCAGAAAACACTTTTGATTCCCGTTGCTATAGTTTCAAGTAATGATTTCATCTCCAAATTTGAATTTGTAACAATTAATTCTTTGTAGCTTTAAATTGGAAAAATATTTGGCTCTTTACCTGAACCAAATCTTGTCCTGCCATCCTTAAAAATTGACAACTCATTAATTTTTATAAAAATTCTCTATTTTGCATCTCTCCCTTGGTTGTGAGACATTTAATGGTGGTGAGAATAAAATTGCTCCTCACAAGCCAAATATTTTCCTTTAAATTGGTAACAATTTAATCATTGAATAACAACCCAGCGTAGTTTAAAGTTTGTAACTATAGTCGGTAGTTCATTTCATGTTGTTAATATTTAGTAGAGTTTTTTACCTATGTAAATCGATAAATTGATGAAGAACCAAATATGTTTATAAATTAAAAAGACTAAATCATTATATAATAAAAGTTAATAATTAATTGTGATGAGAGCATGGACTAAATTATTACAAAATTTAAAATAGACACTAATTGTTATATGCTAAAATTAATGGACTAAATTGTTATCAATTTGAAATTACATTACTAAATCGTTACTTCAATGAAAATATAGGGACCAAAAATATGTTTTTACCTTCAAATTTAGCGTAGCATATGGTTTAAGTTTCTAAATTTAGTTTAGGGGTGATTTACCAAACTTCGTTTAAATTTGATTTTATAGATGAATTGGCAAACAAAAACAGAAGATTGGGCAATATTGAAAATATTGGCAAATGAGGATTTGAAATATAATGCATTAGATAATTAAATTTACATAATCCATAGATTTTAACTTTTAGCATTTTTTAGTGAATTAACAAAAAAGGAAAAAAAAAAAAAGGTATCTAAATTGTTGTTGTTATTTAAAAAAAAAAATTCTTGGAATTGAATGCAGCTACTTCTGTCTCTGGCTGAGTGGCTGGTAATGCAGGTAACGCCCTCTTAAAGAAGAATTTTGGTCCTTTTATTCTACTGATTTTTTTTAAGATATATTTTTTTTCTGAAAAAAGGAAAATAATTAAAGGGTTTTGTCTCAACTCATATTTCCAACGCTCATAAGATGTGAAAATGGAAAATTGGACAAAAAATTTAATTACGATAATCCAGTAGAGTATATTATTAATTGATATTAATTTACTATAATCCTGTAGGGTTTAGGGTTTTTCTGTCGTAAAAATTTGAGAGGGTTGAATAATGAAAAAAACAACAGAATTACAATTATAAAAATAGCACAAAGGAAATGTATATTTATAGATATAGTACTAAGTTTAGAATTTTGTTGAACTAAAAAAATTACAAAAATAGCATAAATATAAATCTATACGATCATATTTGTATGGGATATTTTTATAAATGCATATTTATTTTATGTATTTATTTTAATTATTTTTTTAGTCAAAAGATGGTCCCGAAAAGCGCAAGGTCCGCCGACATTCCGAATTGTTTATCGTGGGATTTAGTCTACTAAGAAACGGTGTCGTTTGGTGCTCTCATTGCCCCGGCAAAACGAGATGTCGGCACATGTGGTTTTGTCTTTCCGCTCCCGGATGGATGCTTCGTGTTGAAGTTACAATCTTCATAAATCCGAATGCTTGCGAACGACATGTCGTTCCTAAGGGATTATGAATTAAAAGTCCAAATTGCTTCAACAGAGCAGAACCCGTTTCAAATGGCATGGAGAATTTTCATTTCAAACAACCATAAGATAAACACACACAAAAAAAAAAAATAGTAAATAAATCTGATTTAGCTTCAAGAACAAGGCTCGTCCCAAATCTTTGATTACTAGATCTTTTAGTTTATAATGAATATTTTGAAATCAAACAATATATTAACTAAATTTTCCGTTAATTTCAAGTACAAGGCTTCTTGTTGATTTTCTATCAATAATTATCAATTATTCAGCCAGGGTACAAACTTTTAATAGATGAGTTTTTTTTTCTTTTGAGTAGAGTATATAAATTGTTTTTCTTTTTCGGTAACTCATTAATCTTTGAGACGGTAATAGATTTAAATTAAGAACATAAAAGCAATATTAGACTAGAAACTCTACTTATGTATTTCTTTATATAGATGCAGGTTATAAAATGAAAGGGATAATATTCTATTACTGGAAATGTTATCTAAAATTACCAAAATACAAATTTCTATATACTTCCCGACTAAGTAATAATTAACACTGGGAATTAATTGACAGTGACTAAAAGATAATACTCATTTTCTCCTTATTTGTTAAATAAGCCATTTTTAAAGTAAGGTTTTAACTCACTCTAGTCACCAGATTTTGTTGAGAAATCAAAATTTTAATTACTTTTCTTACAATTTACACTTAATCCTTAGTAAAAGAGATATTAAAGAGTAAAAAAACTTATAATCTATAAAAGTCAATTTAATAGTTCTAACATTTTGTATAAAAATATGTAGTTGCAAACTTGAATCAACTCTACTAGTTAAAACATGTATAAGTATTTCCGATTAAAAAATCGTATTTGAACTCCTCTCTACGTTGTAGTACTAAAAAAAAAAAGGTGTAATCGACAAGCAAGGTAAATGTATTAATCTATATGAAAATATACAAATACTTATTTACAAAAGAAAAAATCTTCCCTCAATTCCTAAGCCCTAAAAAATCATAAATACAAACTTGGTTTATCATTTTCTTCCTAAGGTGAACCACACGTGTCTCTATCAAAGGCCACCAGCCACAGCCACACGCCTCTAGTTTCCTCCGCACGTGTCAACTTCATCCCCTACGTTCGGTTCTAGAGTAACTCCATGGGACTGTTCAATCGTGGACGTTAATCTCCATCGGATGTAGTGATGGTGGAGCCCAACTTGAGGAGGATCTCCCAGAGCCGTTGGATCTCAGCGAAAACATCATCGGTGGGCAGCTGAAACCTGCAACAGGGACACGTGTTCCTCTTCCTGAGCCATGGCAGAATACAGAGCCAATGGAATAAGTGTTCACAAGGCAGCTGACACGCGTCTCTCCCTTCCCCCATCTCCTCCTTACAAATCACACATTCCACCGCCGCCGCCGCCGCCACCGACGGCAGCTCCACCACCGCCACCGGAGAGGCCGCCACCTCCCTCTTCCCCTTCCCGCCGCAGCTTCCGACAAACCCCACGAACTTCCAGCACCTCGCCACCGTCTCAACGTACGGAACCATTACCGCACCGCCGCCGGAGATGATGCCGGAGATCGACAAGATGGAATCGGAGTAGATTCTGCAGAGAGCCGCACGCCATTTGGGCAGCGGCGTCTCGAGGGCGGCCGGATTGTGCTGCCGGACCTCGCAGAGGAGGAGGAGGAGGACGGCGGCGTCGAGGTCCCGCGGCGTGATGGCGGCGGTGGAGGGGTGCTGGGGAAGGGACTTGGCCGGCGGCTGGAAGGGGTGGCAGAGGCGGCGGAGGGCGGAGAGGAGGAAGCGGGCAATGAGGAGAGATTTGTGGGAGAGGGAGAGGGAATTGAGGTGGCGGAGAGTGAGGGAGAAGAGGGTGGGGGAGGAGAGGATGAAGGTGAGCCGGCGGCGGCGGTGGTGGATGTCGGAGAAGATGGAGTGGGAGAGATCAGAGAGATGCAGCGGAGAGAGGGCAGAGAGAGCAGCCATGATTACAGTGGGAGGTTCTAATTCTTCCATTATGGGATCGTGTGTGCGTATTGCAGTACCTTTGTCAAAGTTGGGGGAAATGTGAACCTTTTTATGTGTGGATCCCAATTTGGCCATGCCTTATTATTTATAGCCTGAAATATTAATATTATCTTAGTACCTAAAATTTAGATGCAATAAAATTCACTAATGATTTATAAGTCTCCTGATCAATAAAATTCACTGCTCTGGTTAACCCAATGTCCCTCTACTATTAATATTTCTAAGACATTAAGATATTGATCTAAAAGGAATAAAACAATATTAATTAATATTGATACGAGGTCAATTAGACAATAAAAAATCATGCATAGATTTAAACAGATCGAGACAATATTTGATTAACATTGATGTGAAGTTGAGTGTAGAATGAAGAATTACATTTATCCAAACTTTTTGATAGTTAAACAAATTTTAATGCATAGATATTAGACTCTTTTAAGAGTTTTCAAAAGAATAAGGAATAAAAAATAAAGAGTGAACTCCCCTAGAATCATAGTAGGAAATTTTAAACTTCTACGGTTTCTTCGTTGGATTCATAAAATGTTTGTTTTAACATATGTCTAAATTAAGCAAACCTGAAGTAAGATAAGCAAAATATATTATTTGAATTGAGCATGGTAACTTGAGCGAGTTAGAGGTTCTACAATATATATATAACTAACCTTATATCATGAACCTCTTCTTTTTCTTGAAAATTATCATCAACGTTGAACTTTCGATTTGCATCTGGGCATTGAACAAAATGTGAATCATCCGTCCCCATTCCACTGAAACCATACATGATTATAGGAATTGATAGAATTTTAGCTACAATATATTATTGAAGGGATGAAATTATTGATACATATAATATGTGCAATATGTGACACTTATCATTACTAAAATTACAACTTGGCCAAAAAAAAGGGCCAAATCCATGAGATTATTCACTCCCTTTCTTTTCCATAGGCTGATAGTCATTGCCTTTGTCTGAAAAACGCAATAAAACAAGTAGAAAAGAGTAAAGGGAAGGGTGGCCCATCCATGGCTCTTCCCTTTGTCCCCTCCAACCTAACACTCTTTCTTCAAAGCCGGTGGAATTCCACAACTCTCTCTCTCTTCTCTCTCTCTCTCTCTCTCTCTCTGCACCGATCGTGGCCCCTGTCTGCACTCTTTTTCCAATTTCCCCGCTTAGCCTTGTGTTATGGGCAAAAAATTTATTTTTTTTGGCCAAATTGCTTAGTCCCACATGGTTGACGAATCATTGCCCCTTTCCATGTGTCCTAAAGTTGGGCTTCCTATTTCTCAATTATGTTAGGTTCCAATCTAATTTGAGTGCTACACAACTAATAGAGCTCAAAATCTAGTTTATTGCCTACAATTTTTTCTCCTATGATTGAAATAATTCAAAAATGGAAATATGTCGATCTGTATTCATTTGCACCTAGGTAGTTTAATCTATATAGATGGTGATGCATGACAGAAAAGAAATGAATTTGAACCTGTATAAGCTAAATGGTAAACTATAGTATCAAGAAGAAAATCCGAATCTGTTCACACAAGTTCCAAGAAATCTATATTCCATGGCAGTCATCATGTACAAAATAAAAGATTTGGAGAAACAAACTACTTTTTAATATGGAATTATTGTCGGTTATACTTAGCTAGCTACATCACTACGTCATTTTTCTATATTTATTTATTTTATGTCTCCAATTATAACATTGATAATATAGTAAAATATTAGCGGCAGTAGTGCGAAAGAATTTAATACTAGAAAATTTTCCTTTCAATACCTGCAAGCTGCTGCCTCGAGGGAAGTTGAGTGGTCTCAATTGGGGGAGGGCTTCACCAATTTCATCATCACGGAAAGTGGGCGGAGGATTTTTCAGCTGAAGGCATGATGATTAAGATATCTGAAGCAAGCAAAGCAATGGCCAATGGCAGGAGATCAAGTTAAAAATCACAAAATAGGTACCCTGTTATGATCTAAAACAGTTAGCTCAATTTTCCCAAAAACAAATAAAGGAGTAAAGAAAAAGAAAGAAAAGCAAAAACAGAGTTCAGAGCTTTTGCCAATCTTACTTTTGAAAGTGTTGCTTTTGTTGGGGTTATCGAATATTATATACAAAAGCATCGATCTGGGCCCATTTTCAGGATCCTTTGGGAATCCGAAGTTAACAAAACCTACAAGCTGCAGGGTTGTTTAGCTCTGCTACTAATGTAAACAACCAATCAACTTTCCATGTACTTTTCTCTCATGTCAACCCCAAATAAATACAATTCTATACTCTTCAATGAATACTATTATGAACTAAAAAGTCCTCTCTACCCATCAGCAGAGCCTAATATGAGATCCTTTTTATTTATGGTTGTAGTCTTGGGTATATTTTTCCACTGCAGGTCGAATTTAAGTAGCTTCGCCACTATGTGCTCCCGTCAATCTATTGTTCCTATTTGTATAGCATGAATGGAGAGCCAAACACACAACGGGTTCCTCAACTGGCATGGTAAGAACAAATCAGATATAAGTCGACAACATTTCAACGAATAACTAATGCTACGGACTTTCCTGTTAGGAAACAAGACCTACCAATAAACTGGTTTATCTTTGAGGAGCAAACGTTTCAGTTGAGGAATGGCATGCCAGTGCAATTCACTCACAGTGTCCGTCTTGTTTGATATTTTGTGCACTAACCACTGCCACAGTCCTCATCTATCTCATTTTGCAGAATGTATCCTTCTTCTTTCATCAATCCAAGTAAACCTTCTAACATTTCATAAATCTCTGGGGTACTGTCATTTGAAGTATCTCTAGCTACGAAACTATGCAACCCTCCGCTCGTTTCTATCCAGCTACTTCCCGGGATCTTCCTCAGTCCAACTTCCTTCATCAAATCCCTAACCTTGTCAGCTTCTTTCCATCTTCCAGATTGTGAATATAAATTAGCCATGATGATGTAGGTACCTGTATTTTCAGGTTCGATCTCAAGCAGACGATCAAAAACATACTTTCCAAGCTCAACATCACCAGCAACAGAAGCCCCATTGAGCAGAGCACCCCAAACTTTTGCACTGGGTTCAATTGGCATTTTAGAAATAAAATCAACAGCATCAGAGAGCTTTCCCGCTCGACTAAGAACTCCTACCATGCAAGCATAATGCTCGACTAATGGTTGAATCCCATACTCTGGTAACATGATGTTAAATATCTTCCAGGCTTCATCTAACTCTCCTGAATGGGCACAAGCAACCAATACCGATGTAAAGGTTACCGGGTCTGGCTGAATCCCATTTCTCAACATCTCATAAAAAAGACTAAGGGCCACGTTAGCATCACCATGTGCAGCATATGCTGAAATTATTGCCGTCCAAATGATTAGACTCCTACCTTTTACTAAATCGAAAACTTGCCATGCCCCGTGGAGGTAACCAGACTTAGCATAAGAATCAATGATAGCAGTAGCAACATAAATATTCCCATTGTAACCGTTTCTAACAGCATAAGCATGAATTTCTTTCCCACCTTTTAAGGTTGAAAAATGTGAGAAAACGGGAAGAACACTCGCAAGTGTCACAGCATTTGGTCTGCAACCATGGGACTGCATTGCTCGAAATATATCTAGAACTCCATCTTGTTGATTATTCTGAACCAGACCAGAAATCACAGCATTCCATGTGCTCAATGCTGGTTTTTTTAGCTCTTGGAAAAGATCCATGGCTTGGTTAACAGAACCATGGACCATGTAGCCCGATATCATTGAGCCATAGGTGACCTCATCCTTCTCAGGCATTTCTTCGAATAACTCCCGAGCATAATCCAAGCTACCACACTTGGCATACAATCCAATAACAGCATTGCACAACGAAACATCCATTTCAATCTGACTTTCGTTGACGAATCTATGAACTTCCATGCCGAAAATGAGATCATTTGACTGAGCACAAGCTTGCAAAACGCTGACTGCGGTTAATGCATTAGGCTTCAGCTCCACTGAACTCAACATCTCTTTGAACAGTTCTTTGCACTCTTCATAGAACCCACCCTGAGAGAACCCAGCCACCATCGCATTCCAAGACACTATATCTCTCTCAGGCATTCTACCAAACACAATTCTCGCTAAAACCACCTCCTCACACCTCGAGTAATAAGTAACCAAAGCGTTGACAACAAAAATATCAGACTCAAGTCCTCGTCGAAGAACGAAACAATGAACTTCCTTAGCCAAAATCGAATCAGTAAACGACGAAGCCAACGCTTTCAAAACACAAGTGATCGTGAACTTATCAGGCTTAACATCCATCGCATTTGAATTAACCAAAGACGAAAACAGCTTAAGCATATCGGAGTGCATATTGTGAAGAGTGTAGCTGATAAACAGAGCATTCCAGGAGAAAATGTTCTTATGAGAAATGTTACCGAACACATTGTAGGCATCTCTAAGGCTGCCGGATTTTGAGTAGAACGCGATGAGCTTCGATCCGAGGAAGTTATCGGGAGTGACGGAAAGTAGAACAAGACGGGCGTGAAGCTGCTTACCGAGGCGGAGGAAGCGGCGGTCGGCGCAGTGCTGAATAAGGCGGCCATAGGCGGCGTAGTTCATCCCGTCGGCGCGGCGGATCGCTTGCAGAGCCCATGGAATAACGGCGCCGGCGGGAATTGAGATTTGATTCATTTGAACAAGAGTTGTGGGCTTCGCATTCCTCATTCATTTTCTAGCCCAGTTTCGTTGCTGGTGGGTTTATTTATTTATTTGTTTGCTAATTAGTTATAGAATTAATTTTTCCTATCTCAAAATAATTTAAAATTAATTAAACAATTTTTACCACGAAATTCGTGGGTGGACTTGATATTTTGATATTTGATATCTCAAAATTAATTAAATTATTAGCCAGCGTAGAATTTTAACTCATTCGTTCTTAATTAATTTTATTCCCTGTAAATCAATGAATCACCCATAATAGTTTTGTAATATAGAGTTTCCATTGTATTGTATGTAAAACTCAAGTTAGAATTATGTTAAATGGAGGCAAAATTAGTCACATTTTAAATGTACAATGATGAAAATAGACTATCAAAATAAACTAAAATTGAAAGTAGGGAAATTAAAATAGTATTTATACGGTTATTCGTTAGAATATGATTTTTCATATGATTTGGACAGTTTTTAATATAACAATATAACTTAGCCAATGTCAACTCTGGTAAATATTAAATAAATTGTATGAAATTTAAAAAAAAAATCACTTGTTTGGTCGTAATAATAAATCAATGCGTGGATTGCACATCATACATCCTACTATCTACCCAATTTATTGTATCAAAAAAATCAATCTCTCTTCATACGATTATTTATATGTTATCATTTTTAAAACATTATTCAATATGAACCAAATATTCATTTATCCTCTCGTACTCATATTTCAAGAGATTTTAAAATTGTGACTGATTTTAAATAAATTGTTGTTTGATACTTTATGATTTTGAATGAAATAATGTTTTTATGTAAAAAAAAAAAACATTGTACTATTTTAATTTCTAATTAATAAATTTAGATTAAAAACTTAAACCAGTAAAATTTTAATTTTTCATTTCATTCCGGGCGAACATCCAAACCAATAAATTTAGTTTAATTATTTTTGTTCCAAACAACATAAAGGATTTAAAATCATTATTTGACGTCAAATAGAAGGATAAGGATTAAATCTTATGTCAGTACAACAAATACGAGTATAATTCAACTAATTAAAATATTACTTGCATTCTTAAAAGTTAGAGACAGACGATTCAATCATCGTTGTATTTTAATAAATTATTTAACATAAACTTCATATAGATATGTATTGTGTTCATTTATCTAATAAATAGATGCCAACCCCATAAAACTTTTTTCTTCTATCCCGGTAAATAATTGAGTAACATATATATTTTTCTAATTCAACAATTGGGAACGTGGCAGATAGAAGCATCCATCTCTAAATGGTAATATAATATATGTCTTATTCATTGAATTATATTTAGATTTGTAACTATCTTTTTTAGTAGCGGTTGAGAATTCGAGCTCATGATCTCGTTGTCAGAGGTAGATGCTAATTTTAAAATGAATTTGAATTTTTGTTAATCTTAACTATGGTTTTCGTATTAAAATAAAGTATTGAAAAGTGAGAAGATACTATGTTAAGGATTTATGGATATCTAACCCTCTACCTCACTTACAGACCTCCTACCCTGATATCATGTTAAGAAGAATAAATCATCCCCTCAATCCAAAAATTTAAATTGATGAGTTGGATAAATTTAATTCATTTATAGAAATCTAACCGAATAAAATATAATATTTGAAAGTTTAGAGGCCAAGAAAGTATACTAAGTAAAATTTAAAACTCTATTTAATTAAATAACATTTGACGAAATCAGATCTCAAAAAACAAATCTAAATAATTTTTTAAAAAACGATTTGAAACGTAGACTTGTGAAATTGTTAACCCAAAAATAGCTGGGCAACTATCTAAGTTTAAAATAAAATTAAGAAAGTATAATCATTAGCTCCGTCAAAAACATGTAAAAAAAAAAAAATCCGTCAGGAAAAGAAAAAGAAAAATAATCACGCCTCGACTGGACAACTGCCTTTTTAAATTCATCAACCGCCGTACGTACGATAATTCAGTTTAATAATAATAATAACAATAATAATAACAATAAAAACGTTATGTTCTGTTACAATAATAAATTAATAATAACAATGAACTGTAGACAATGGAAAACTTGCACGACAGCATTACTAATAATAATAATAATAATATAGTTGAAATTGATTTATATTTGAAATAATCCAAAAGTTTAATATCTTCTTAAATATTGTATTTTTATAAAATAAAGTACATAATTTTTTGGAATAATAAAATTTCATAATTATATCATCCTCGGCCGATTCCAATATGGTCTGCATATTAGTTTTTTTAAGAATAAATTTTTATTTTCTCCAATTTAATCTACGACATTTTTTTTTAAATACTCCAAACAAGCAGTTTACTAACAAACCAAAATTTACTAAAATTTTATAATTTTATCATTGACGTGGTGAAGTTATTTTTTTTCCTTACATTTTATCTGTTCCCAATCTGACGTAATGTTTACATCTTAAAATCTAAAAATAAAGAATAAAGGAATCCAAATCTGAAAAGAAAAATATTATTATATTACTAGAACAATATATATTTTCCACTGAGAAATAATTTGTTTATTTTTTTAGGATACACTAAGAAATAATTGAAAATCTAAAAACGTCAAGGCCACGTTTAAATATGTGAAATTAGGTGGATAGCATAAATTTAACATATGGTTAAGAAAATTCTATATTTGTATCCCATTTTTAGTGTGTTTTATACCATATTTGAGTTTAAATTTGACTTGGATTTAGTTATTTCACACAAATATAATTCCACAATTTATTTCACAAAATTCCATCTCATTTATCAGCTGACTTTAACACGGACAATAGTTTTTTAACAATAATTAGGTGCTTATCAATCAAGTTATTAACACTATTTTTTTTGTTGACCATCATTATTAAATATTTGCAAGTAAGAAGATAAATGGATAAAAAGATATAATTTTATTTTTCTATTTTTCATAAAATTAAATAACTATCAAATTTTTATTAAATTTGTATTCTTTATTAGTACCCAGTACCCACCATACAATTTTTGCCAAGTAAAACATAAATATATAGAGCATGAGAGAGAAAATATAAGACTCCTTTGTTCTCTTTTTCTTAAAAAGTAAACACCTATCAAAATTTTGGTAGCATCTAGTATTGTTCTTTCAACCTTCATGGAAAGAAGAATATGGATAAAACATAGACGTTAATCGATAAATAGCCATCTCTTTAAATTATGTCCACCCGAGTATAGTTCAATAAGTCAAAACTAGTAGGTTGTGAACAATTTGAATCTTCCACCCTACGTATTGTACTAAAAAGATCTAGTAAATAAGCACTCAAATTTTATAAGAGTAGTATAATTAAAATATAAGGAAAAAATTAAAAAAAATTGTAAAACAATAGGGATTAAACGAGGGGAATAATTTAGGGAAGAACAAGAGGAGATTTATTTATTAAAGATAATTCCAAAAGAGGGATATGTAGAGATGAGTTGATGACTAGGCCCTGCGCACCAGGGGGAGGTCGTACGTAAGCTTCCACTATCGCAAACACAGCCTTTTTACATTTTTAATTTCCTCCAAAAGAAAAACAGAGCATCCTCCATTTTTCATCTGTTTTCTTCCGGAACGGCCCCATGGATCTGGATCTCCAATGGCTTCTGGATTTCGCTCAGGGCATGACGAAGCCGCTCCTCGCCACCGCCATTGTCGCCGTTGCCGTCGCGCTCTCTTACTTTCAGAAGCTCGGCCTCGAAGGCGAAATGGTGTACGCCATCTTCAGAGCCTTCCTCCAGCTCTCTGTTATTGGCTTCGTTCTCCAGTTCATCTTCAACCAGCAAAATCTCCTCTGGATTCTTCTCGCTTATCTCTTCATGGTAACCCTAACCCTAACCCTCTCTTTCCCCTGTTTTCTGTTTGGTTCTCGAGAAAATGGAAAATTCGTGTTTTGTCTTTGATTTGCCCCTGAATTTAACACTTCACTGCCAAAATTTCTGGCTCTTATGTATCCCCTGTTTTCCAGTGCCTGTCTGTTTTTTCTCCAAGATAGAGAGAATGTTATGGTGGTTAAAATTTAGGATAAGTATATTAAAATATGCCTAATTTTTTTTAATTTGTTGTTTAAAATTCTTAAGTACAGTAAAATATAGAAATAGAAACTTTTTTGAAATAATAATGAATGGTAAAATATTTACTCTAGTTCATTCTTAATGAGAATTTAAAATATTGATGAACGCCACTACGTGAATTATAAATATGAAAGTGTATAGTTTTTTTTTACAATATTAGCTCAGAATGAGAATTTAAACTTACTATTTTTTAATTTGAAATAAGTGTATTAATCAATTAAACTATGTTTAGATTAATATATCAAAATTAAAGTGTATAGTTAATTTTTGGGCAAATTAAAAACTTCTAACATTTTGATTTCAAAAGCTAATTTATTTTAAAATATATATATTTGTAGGTTTTTTAAAGAAAAAATTAGGCAATATAAAGAGAGAGAGAGATGATTGAGTTTATGTGACGTGGGTTGGCAGGTTACGGTTGCGGGATACACGGCAGGGCAGCGTGCGAAGCACGTGCCTCGCGGGAAGGTGGTGGCCGGAGTTTCAATATTGGCCGGAACTTCGGTGACGATGGTTCTGCTGGTGGCGTTGAAAGTTTTCCCCTTCACTCCAAGGTACATAATCCCCGTCGCCGGAATGATGGTCGGAAATTCCATGACGGTCACCGGAGTCACCATGAAAAGACTCAGAGATGATATCAGAACTCAATTCAACCTCGTAATCTCTCTCTCTTAGATTATTATTATTGTTGTTTTTTTACAATCACTAAACTAAAAAATACAAAATACTTTACCTTTTATTATAAGTTTGAATAAGATACTTTTTTCTTTTACAGATAATCAGTCCTTTAATAAATACCTCAACTTTCAAGATTGAGAAATAAAACCATTTGATTGGATTCGTTCTTAATAACTATGTGATGATCATTATTTTAATTTGTCGATCAATTCTAATTTGTGGATCAATTCGAGAGAAGAACTCTAGGACACTCTTGAGGTGATGCATCTAGTGCCTAGCTAATGTCCTTTCATTAGAAGTCAGAAAGAGTCCTCTAGGCTAGAATCTAAACATTGTTTTTTTTCGCTATTTTTTTTTAATGAGAAGAGAGAAGTCGATGTGGTCTCCCAGACCACTCAGATCTCATAAGTGAATGGAAAATTGAATCTACAGATTACACTGGATCTACCTGAATCACCAAAATAACTTTTCTTTGAAACACATACAAGATTCGTTATTGTAAAAAGGACAATGCTAATCCACTATTAACTACTTCATTTATTAATTTCAACTTTCTTAACCTTCCGACAGGTGTCAACCCCATATATAGTCTTATAACTTTGTAGATACATTTGTTTTTGATAAACAGTCCCGAACTTGATCAGCAACCCCCTTTGTGAAGAGGCCAAAGTAAGGTCTAAATCCAATGATTCAGGACAAAGATAAATGATCGAATTTTATGTTTTTATATAAGTAATTTGTTAGTTTATGAAAATACCTAGAACACACCCAATTTTAGACCATTTAAATTCATCCTCTTGTACTAGTCATGTTATTTGACAGGTCATAATCCTTAAATAGTACAGTCAATGTGCTACATGAGCATTAAACTAATACAAGTTAATTATAAAGACTTTACTTGAAATACCATTTTAAAAGTTGGTGGACTAAATTTAGGTGGAGACAGCATTGGCTCTAGGAGCGACGCCGCGGCAAGCGACACACCAACAAGTGAAGAGAGCGCTGGTGGTGGCCCTATCACCGGTGGTCGACAACGCGAAGACGGTGGGGCTGATATCGCTGCCGGGGGCGATGACGGGGCTGATCATGGGCGGCGCTTCTCCGATCGAAGCCATTCAGCTCCAAATCGTGGTTATGAACTTTCTCATCGGCGCTTCCACCGTCAGCAGCATATTGTCCACTTACCTCTGCTGGCCTTCCTTCTTCACCGCCGCCTATCAGCTGGAAACCGCCGTCTTCGCCGCCGCCTGATCTGTGATATCCTCTCTCTCTTAATTTCTTTTTTGGAGCTTAAATGTACATTCCATTGCGCTCATTTTTGTTTTTGTTTATAAATTTTCACTCTAAATTATAAACTTAGTTTTCTATTTTCTGCATTGTGTTTTTTTAATATTTGGACTCTAAATATTTGAATTTCTTATCCTTTAAATAATAATTTATTTAGGTATATCGACATTAATTTCATTAATGGAATATTGACGTGACATGATTGAATTGGTAGGTAGTCATAGACCATTCTACCATTGTGATATAATAATTAAGTTCATTAGTGAAAAAAAGACACCAAATTTACTCTCAATTGCTATAACTTTTTTAAGATATTAAACATTGTTGGTCTTTTGTACTATCGATTGAAATAACAATTTAGTCTCCTTAATTTTAATTTAGTAACAATTTATTTTCAAATTGGTAGCAATTTAGTTCCTACAGTTTCAAATTTGTAACGATTTAGTGTCTATCATGATAATTGTTCTTAAATTTAATAGGATTTATTATATATGTACGTAGACCGACAATCTATAAATTTATAAACCGTAAAAACTAAATCGTTATTTAATAAAAATTGACGCTTAATTTTTATGAGAACTTTTTCACGGTTGCAACTTATTTCTTCTAAATTTTAAATTATAAGATTAAATTGTTATTCAATAACTAAATCATTACATATTTGATAGTCCTAAGTATAGGGGGCAAAAATGTATTTTTATCCTATTATTTACTTGCCAAAAAAGGAAAGTAGTAGACTCGTAATAAAACATTTAGCAGTATTTCATACCATTTAATTTTTTATTAATAAATAAAGATCATACGAACATTTATTTTCTTTTAGACATTATAGGAGTAAGAATTCCAACTTATCGAGAAACTCATAAAACATAAAATGATTTACCAATTTGAAATAATTTCTAAGACTTTCATTCATTACAAAGAGGAGTTTGTTAAGTGTAACCATTGATGAAAAGTCTAGCTAACAATTGGACTCTTTGACAAATTGACATCAACAACGCCTTTTTACATGGGCTTCTTCAATAAACTGTAATTATGGAACAACCAACTGGTTTTATTGCTACAGGCTCTAAACATCTCGTGTGTAAGGCGTGGTTTGAAAGGCTTAGCACATTTTTAGTCTCTCTTGGTTTTTTTGGTTCTCGTGCTGACCCATCACTCTTTTTCCGAATCTACAATGGACAGTGTTGTTACATCCTAATATATGTTGATGACATTGTTTTGACAGGGAGCTCTGATTCTGAAATACAATTTCTAATTTCCACTCTTCATAAGAAATTTGCACTCAAAGATCTGGGCAAACTCAGTTATTTTCTTGGGGTTGAGGTGTCTTATCCTACCACTGATAGTCTTTTCCTATCTCAAACAAAATACATTACTGACCTACTTCAGAAAGCAAAAATGCTTGAAGCAAATGCTATATCAACACCTATGATCAGTGGGGCTTTAGTTTCTGCTAGACATGGTGATCTACTTCCGGACCCCTTTCTCTACAGAAGTGTAGTTGGAGCAGTATGTGACTCTAACCAGACATACAATTTCTTTTTCAATAAATAAAGCATATCAATTCATGCATGCACCTACAAACACTGACTGGCAGAGGGTCAAAAGGATACTTAGATATCTAAAAGGGTCTTTCAATCATGGATTACTACTACGCAAACCAAACTACCAAGCTTTTACAAGGTTATTTTGATGCCGATTGGGTATCATATCCAGACGATAGAAAATCTACCTCAGCCTACTATGTTTATTTGGGAGGAAATCCTATATCATAGGTTATCGTGCTCTTGCTCTTGTCGCGACCGAATTAATCTGGCTTCAAATGCTGTTTCACGAACTTCATATTGCTGTTCCATCTCCTCCAGTCCTCTAGTGTGATAATCTAAGTTCGGTGCACCTCAGCTCCAATCCTATTTTACATTCCAAAACAAAATACGTAGAAATCAATATCTACTTTCTCCGTGATCTGGTAAAATTGGGAAAAATTAGGGTTCAGCATTTACCTTCCACAATGCAAATCGCCGATCTTCTCACAAAACCTCTTTCTGCTGTGCGTTTTCTCCGACTTACGAACAAGCTCAATGTATGTGTCCCAACATCCATTGGCTCGAGGGGGTGTTAAAGTGTAACCATTGATGAAAAGCACTAAGCCCAATATTACTTTGTAATAGCCCATTTAGATAGAAGGCCCAGTTATTCATTGTATATATATATATGGCCTGTATCTCGTTTGTAAATATGGATTAAGAAATAAAAGATCCATCTTTCATGTGCAAGAATTACTGCACTTTTTCTGAGTTAAATGTTTGTATCACGATTTTGGGATATATATATATATTAAATCGACTATGGAGCATGAATGTTGAAGAAATCCGCTGATCGAAAAAGAAAACTTCGTCGCAGAAATCTGAACATCGAGCTTCCATTTCCATCAATGGACTTGAAAATTCCAAGAAAAAAGAAAAACAGAGAGAAAACGGCATATTAATTAG